CGAGGCCGAGACGTCGGCCCGATAAAAGACGGCGCAAGGCAGCGCTCAGATCTTTCGAAGGGGCGTTACACTCCTTTCCTTAGGACTAAACTGTGAGCCAAGCTCGCTTCCTGTTTTGTAGGAAACGGTCATTCTCGACGGTGGCTCGCTCTGCGCCCGCGACTGGAACCGCACGCGGTGCGATTCCCAGGGCGTTCGTTCAAAAGGCAGTGTTGAAACGCGACGGGGTAGTGAATTCGTTTTGCCTTTTCTTGGAAGGTTCCCGTCCTTTGCCCCGTGTTCCCGAGTGCTGCTGCCACGGCCTCACGTGGGCTGATATAACTTTTTAGACAGAAAAACCTGCTGAATGCAGCTTCCGTTTCTTGCACATCTGAAACGGCTTTCGCATGTCAAAGCGCCTCTGCTCAGACTGCAAGCAAAGCTTGGCAAAGTACTCTACATCCCAGCGACGTCTGAGCGCAGAAGAGGTCACCTTGATCGCACGGCGCGCTTCTGTCCCAAGAGCGCTGAATAATTTCACTAAATAGTAAAAGGTTTGGAATTTGGTGAGCTTGTCTCGGGGACGTGTGTCCTAGCCAGAAGATTTGCAGCAATCTGTCGTAAGGATTTGGGCATCTATTGATGGCTTTACAACATGACGAATTTAGTAATAGCGAGCCAGCAAAGTCTGTCTGTGCGCTGCAGCTTTTTCGAGGAAATTGCTCCATTTGCATTTTTCCATCCTGCCGGAGCAGAAAATCAGAAAATTCACCACAATTTCTCTCTCCTTTCATCTGCGCAGGGAAGCAGACGGCCAAACGGACAACCTCCGGCCCCGAGCCATTTGAAGCACATTGCACAAAGAAACTAGAGAGGCGACTTGAAGGAAAAGTTGGCCACGTGCATTTGAAAACCAGCTTGTGAAAGGGCCTAGCAACACAGCCAGAGCGGCTCTTGACAGCGGCTGGATTAGCAAAGGGTCTCTATCACTGTTACAGGTTTTGAACACGCCGCACATCAAAGGAAGGCAAGAAATGATAAGAGCCCCCCCTTAGAGCCAGCCTGCTCTCCGCTACCAAAACCAGGCTGCAGGCAGGAGTGATGCACCCCTCTTTTTCCATTTAACGTGTCACCATTTACGCTGGTTTTTCCATTTGTAATGTACTGTAACCGTTCGCGGTGCTCAGTGTGAGAACACGTTATGACTATTAATAGCCACCAAATACAATAAATCCCTATTACCTGCCGTTCCGGGGAGACAGAGTAATTTCTTTGTGTAATGGGCTCGCTAAGGAAAATACGTAGCGTGCATTTCTGAGAGCGTTTCAGAAAGGTTTAAGACAGCGGGAGGATTTTGTTTGAGGATTTAGCTTTATCTGGCAACCAAGCTGTAATATTAAATCCTCCTGAAATCTGCCATCGAAAATTCAAGGCTGGGTATTATTAGAACGGCTGCTCTGGCTGATTTTTTGAGCGAGGCACAGCAGAGCTGGACATCGTGCCCCGGCTAGGGGGAGGATATTAAAACGCGGGCCGGCTAAGGAGCAGGGGAGCTGCCTGGTTGCCGCCGCGTTGCCCGCGCCGTGAGCTAAAGAGACCGCCAGCCCGTTTCCATGCGAGACGGAAAAAGCCTGCCGGCAGCCAAAACCTGCTTCTGCGCCGAGTTTAAATTTAAAGGAGTTAAACTTCACTGTGTTACAAAGGCAAAAATCCAGCGATAAAGGGGGTTTTTTGTTTTTTTTTCCCCCCCTTGGCCCCCGATGTTAACTGTGAGCCGGACTGCTGCTTTGTGAAGGGCCGCCATCATCCGAGAGCAGCTCTGCAAAGCGGTGGCAGGTCTGCAGGACACTGACGTCCGCGTCGCGGTCTGGGCCGTTCCTTCCCTGCCCCTTCCTAAGGCGGCTACTGCACCCAAACCGGCCCGTCCC